CTATTATAGTATTCTTATTTAAATGCGAGGAGACAAAGCTTTCATATTATATTTTTTGATTTTATTGTGAGCCTACCTTGCAAGAAACAGGTCGCTTCCCTAGTGATTGACAGAACTGCATTAGCCTAGTGTGCGTCTCTTCAGAAGTTTCGCCAGTGCTGACCACTTCCACTAGTTTCATCAGGGGTACAGGATTGAAGAAATGCAATCCAGCGAAACGAGAATGATCTTGAATGCATGAGAGCATATCAGAAAGACGGATTGATGATGTGTTTGTGATTAGAAGTGCGTGCCTAAAAATTAGCTTGATTAGTCATGAGGTCAAAAAGGGGTTTCACGGTTCTACTCACGATGGGCAGAAGCGTTGAGCTTCAGCAAAGACATCATCTTTCACGGATTTCTTCTCGACCACAGCTTCGATCACATAATCGGCGCCAGTAACTGCGGTACGGATGTCCGAGCAAAGCTGTAGATGAGCCATCTGAGTATCAACTGCCTTTTGAATATCCATCTGGAAAACAAAACTTAGCAAAGGCAAACATGGTTTAACTTTTCGGTGGTCCTACCGTATCGGCATCTTCTCCCCGTTTCTTGGTCGCACTCTTGGCTAGGTTCTTCCGCAGTTGGTCCCTAGCTCTGGCACGCGAATCGCCACTTCTGCCATAGAGATTGACTCTATAGCCGGATGCCAGGCATACCTGCACAACTGACATGATTTAGATGGAATTATTACAAGTCTCAGATTTTTAGAATTGATAAATCTAAGGATTTTCTCTTTGTCATCAATCAGGCAATGGTAACTCTTGCTCAGAGCTAAACTCAAATGTTTTTGTTGCTTTGTACCAACGATAAAATGATTTCGAGGTGTAATCAGTAATTTTTGGAAATCGTTAACTTTGCCACGAAGCTACAGTACCAAGTATCAATATTACAGAGTGCAATTTCTGATGAAAACGTTTACAATAAACTCACAACGACTGCAATAAAGTAATAATTCCGAATTTCTTGAAGTATTCGCGAAAAAAATACATTTTTGACCCAAAAATCCAGGAAGACAAGCTACAGTACTAGGAGGGTAAACGCAAAATGTTCGATGTGATTTTCTTCAAATTTTGTATTTGCAGTTAATGCTCAATTTCAGCGTAGTTCAGACTTTCCTTATTCATGAGTGATACGCAAATCATCCAAACTTATATATTCTTCACATTGGCATAAAAGGCGTGAAGCTTGCTTTATGAGCTCAAACAATAGCTTGAGCAGTTATTTCGCATGCAAGAATGGGCTAGTGATAGAAAAAAACCAACAAATCCTTGTAGGTTCCAACTATGACTTCTACATTTGCTTTAATATTCCAGACTGGAGCAGGCAAATTATTTTTTCTGTGTAGTTTCAAAATTTCTGTCCAGTATTTTGCGCCAAAGCTTTTTTTGAATAATTGTTGTTGATTTGAGTGGTAATCAGGAACAGCAGACATAAATTCTAGTCCAATTTGCTTATGTAGGTAATCATATTCGAAAGTTACGAAAATCTAGTAGTAATCCTACATAGAACTTGATCGATTGGTCTATGGTTCGAAGCTGACATCGAGGGTACTATGAATGCCCATAGGTCAGAATCAACCTAGTC